TATTAATTATTAATATATCAATATTATTTGTTCAAACCTAATTACGAAGCATGATTGTTCGCCTAATAGGATTCCGAAGCACCAGAAGCAGCCACGTAGGCTCAGTGCATTCTGGAATTATATATAGGGAGGATATTTATTAGACTTTGGAAAATTACAAAGAAATAAAGGGTTATATTAGTACAAGTAATATTAAAGTACCAAAGTTAGCTAAATAATATTTATGGAATGTCAAACCTAAATTATTAATTATTAATATATCAATATTATTTGTCCAAACTTAATTACGAATCATGATTTTTTGACAAGTTGGATTCTGAAGCATCAGAAGCAGTCACGTAGGCTCAGAGGAATAATATATAGGGAGTCTATAATTATATTAAAAGCCATCCTATTTACCAAAAATAGTAGCAAGAAAAGTCAACTCACATTTAATGCATATTTTATTTGAAAATTTTTTACTATATGCATTAATTGCTTGCATATATACATTTCCTATTCAAATATGATCAAAAAGATTGTTTCCTTAAATAATTTTATTAACTTATGCAATAATTTTATACTAGTACAGATCCCGTGCTATGCACAGGTAAGAAGTATTTGTTAATATTTATAAATTAAGAATGCTTATTAAATAATATTTATTAATTAAAAATATAGAATCTATATGTAGTAATATTACATATATTAATTTATTAAAATGTTATATGAAATTTAAATTATACAAAATTACATAGAACATGTAATTTAAAATTAATACACAACTCGTACGTGCACATAAGTGATAATGAATTGCAGTATATTCATTTTAAAATAAGTGTTATTTTGAAAAATTTATTTAGAAATTCGATTTGACTACAATGTGATTCAATAAAATAATTATTTTGGTAAAATATTATCATATTATTTAAAAATCAATGTGATCAATAAGTATAATTATAAAACTCATATTGTTTCATTAATTAAAATAGATTTATTATTGTATAAACTATCTAATACAAGTCTCGCACCCTGCCCGGCTGGAATTCGCCTTGAGCTTGCTTTCCTCGCTGGTTGAACGCGGAACCTGCACGAAACTCCCACACCGGAGGTGTTTTCCGATGAAGA